TTGAACAGAACTTTTCAAACTCCATGTTCTCTAATAAGCAATCATTCAATTCAAGTGCCAAATGAAATACCCCTCCAATGGGTGCCAACCCTTTCGCCTCATTTACCAGTTGTTGGGAGCCTTCAGGTGTCAGACAATTAGCCGTTGAAACCAATAAATCGCACGAAAAATATTTATTTTCTTTGAATACTTCCTGAATTTTATTTACTGAATATTTCTGGTAATCATTCCTAACCCCTGACCTCGAAGTGACCACAAATTTTCTGGCATTTAGTGAATACATCCATTGAATCAATTCCAGTCCAAAACCACCCAAACCGCCGGTTATTATATAGACTTTGCTTGGATTGAAATAAGTCTTAACAGTGACCTCGAAGTGACCACAAATTTTCTGGCATTTAGTGAATACATCCATTGAATCAATTCCAGTCCAAAACCACCCAAACCGCCGGTTATTATATAGACTTTGCTTGGATTGAAATAAGTCTTAACAGTCGTAATCATATCCATCGACGGTTTTGGGTAAGACTTAATCGGATGTCTATTTGTCTCTTCATCTCTTAACTTAATAACAATTTTTCCCATATGTTTTCTTTGTTTGGATTGAAATAAGTCTTAACAGTCGTTATCATATCCATCGACGGTTTTGGGTAAGACTTAATCGGATGTCTATTTGTCTCTTCATCTCTTAACTTAATAACAATTTTTCCCATATGTTTGCCAATTGTCATATACCTGAACGCCATATTTGCTTCATCCGGACTAAATATGTTACAATTAATAGGTTTTACACAACCATTGGTGGAATTCTGGTGAAGCCATTTATAATAATCAAGCACAAATTCTGGGTTTTCAAACATAAACAGATCCAACACAAGACTTATAAAGTCAATATTGCGGGCGAAGTCAAACATTGACAGTTTGGTCGCCTGAACCATATCATACCGTCCCATCTCGACAAACCTGCCGTGATTGGCCACACACTCGTAACTGGCCATCAGTTTATCGCCAGTCAATGAATTCAATACAACGTTCACTCCCTTTCCGTTCGTGAGTTTCATAATTTGATTTCTGAAGAGAGTATCCCTTGAGTTGAATATTCTGTTCGAAGGAATGTTGTATTCTTTGATCAAAAACTCCTTTTTCTCATCGGTTCCGACCGTCGCATAGATATCGCATTTATAGTGTCGGCATATATTGAGGGCTGCCTGACCCGCACCACCCGTCGCCGAGTGAATCAATATACTCTCCCCTTTGAATTAATCCAAAACAATTAATTAAGTATAATATTTAAGGTATCACAAAATGAATACCTTGTTTCAATTTGCCAATATGTATCAATCCATAAAACACAGTACTATAAGTGCTGAGTATGGAGACGGCGTCGTCCATAGACCAGTGGTCAGGGATGTGAGTGAACGCATCAGTGGCCGAGTATACAGAAGTAGCATAACATCGGCCCATTTCCATACCCATAACTCTCTGACCCGTATCCGCACGACGACCGGCATATTCGGTGCCAATCGCACAGTCAGTTACGAAAGCCTCCGGTCCCATAGGTATACGGCCTATCAATAGACAAAAATGCATTAGGTCTATAATTTGAATATTATATTAAATGGCTTACCTGTTGCAACCAGAACGTCATGGAATATAATACCGGAGCTGTAAATGTTGATTTTGACTTTATTTACAGGATTACCCAGGAAACTATATGTCGTTCGTGAGTTTCATAATTTGATTCCTGAAGAGAGTATCCCTTGAGTTGAATATTCTGTTCGAAGGAATGTTGTATTCTTTGATCAAAAACTCCTTTTTCTCATCGGTTCCGACCGTCACATAAATATCGCACTTATAGTGTTGACATACATTAAGGGCTGCCTGACCCACACCTCCCGCCGCCGAGTGAATCAATATACTTTCCCCTTTTGATTCATCAAAACAATTAATTAAGTATAATATTTAAGGTATCATAAAATGAATACCTTGTTTCAATTTGCCCAGATGTATCAATCCATAAAACACAGTACTATAAGTGCTGAGTATGGAGACGGCGTCGTCCATAGACCAGTGGTCAGGGATGTGAGTGAAAGCATCAGTGGACGAGTATACAGAAGTAGCATAACATCGGCCCAATTCCATACCCATAACCCTCTGACCCGTATCCGCACGACGACCGGCATATTCGGTGCCAATCGCACAGTCAGTTACGAAAGCCTCCGGTCCCATAGGTATACGGCCTATCAATAGACAAAAATGCATAGGTCTATAATTTGAATATTATATTAAATGGCTTACCTGTTGCAACCAGAACGTCATGGAATATAATACCGGAGCTGTAAATGTTGATTTTGACTTTATTTACAGGATTACCCAGGAAACTATATGCTAGCTGAGATGGGGCCACACATTTCGAGTCATACCACTGAAGTGCTGATATGTCTCGGGTTTGACTCAAGTTTAGGAAATACTCGTTGGAAACTGTTTTGTCTAGGAAACTATATGCTAGCTGAGATGGGGCCACACATTTCGAGTCATACCACTGAAGTGCTGATATGTCTCGGGTTTGACCCAAGTTTAGGAAATACTCGTTGGAAACTGTTTTGTCATAATTTTGTGGCAGTTTTATGTGTCTATAAGTCCCCACTTTTCCGTCTTTGATAACATTTGCCACCAAATCATTGGCCAATATATCGCAAAACGGTTTACTATTGAAATCTATTTTCGTCTCACATTTGGTGTCATAATTGAAAACATATCTCAATCTCTCGCCCGACTCTAAACGCAAACAATTCATGAAACCAATGATACCATTATTGGGTGAATCGTTTGCAATAACCCAGATATTTGACATCTTATCGTCGGAAACATTTTCTGTGACAATCTTTTCCTTCAATACTGGAAACCATTGCTTGTAATCATTATTTATATAAATTATATGATTTTGATCCGGAATTTTAGGAATTTCATCCATTTTTCTGAACAGTACGACAACGGATCCAATTGTATCGCATTTATTACAAATCACACGAAAGCCAACACTTTTGGCAATTGTTAGGAAACTTGTGATCCGAGTCTCTAAATCACAATTATTTAGGACTTGCTTTCCATTCAATGAATTCAACGCCAGTTCCGGTTCAGTGAACTTATACCGGAATACCGTTAATAGGAATCCATTAGATTTGATTAAGTCATACAAGTCTTGTATGAATTTTCCCAAATCTAAAGCCCATAAATCCTGCGTATCTCTCATTATAACCAAATGTGAAGGTTTTAATGGTATCTCTTGTTTTAGATGCCATTCCATTGAATTATACATTTTACACTTTTCCGGTAAATCTTGTTTTGATTTAACAATCAAATCGTAATCGATTTCACTGGATGTGGCTCTGAAGTGCTTGATATACTGATCCACATCTGTAGCCATCAGAGCTCTACTGAAATTAATTTCCGATACTTTGATCTCAAAGACCGACAAAAGGTTTTCGCAGACAATGTCCACAAGAGTTCGTATTAATCGCTCGTTACTCGAGACCTGATTCACGACATCTCGAGTCCAGTCGTACTCCGGATTCGTGCGAATCTCATTCAACACGTTATTAATAAGAGTACTGTTCTTCAGATTCCGGTTTTCGTCAGTAATTTCTGACAGTATTTTATCCAACACTCGAAACAACACATGATTTTCATTGTTTTCATTTCTGTACTCTTGTATCACATCCTCGTTGATGGACTGGTTATTGAAATCGCATTTCATTTGCTTGAAACCCATCTGGTGCACTTTCAAAGCCATGTATTTGCAAACCTTTGTTTAATATATGTAGTCAAATATCAACTAAATACAAGTAACACTGATTTATATTCAATTAATTATCATTACCTCCAAATATTTATCTACAGAACTCTTATGGCACTCATCAATGGCTACATAATCTTCATTTGCATGAAAGGCA